ATAGGATCTCGGGTGTGAAAGCTTTGATGGCGTGTTCCATACTTTGGATGTTTTTTCGCAGAAAATCGACCACCATCAGCGAAACTGAACGATTTGACTCATTACAGCATCTGAACTTAGGGTCTGGCCCCACAATGCACATACTTTTTAAATGGGCTCAACGGTGCTTCTTATGAACTCTACTGATATCAGCAAACGGTTTAATTACTAGCAGTGTACTGTCGACTGCGGAGGCTAGACCTTTGCAAGAAGAATTAACTTCAGTATCGATAGTGACAAGGGAGATTGGAGCGGCCACTTCTACCTTATGAGCCGTCATCAGCCAGGTAGGTACTGCCTTGGATTGGGTATGAATGACTGATGAGAGCTATTAAGCCATAAATGTTCATGTCAGTCTCCCTTGTCTTTGCCCGCGATGTTCATCTGCCTACACTGCTAGTGTCTGTGTGGCTGCTGGTGGAACTCGAGCGTGAGCACCAAGGCAGAACGAGACGAATTACTTCCATAAACGAGCGGTAACTGTCCATCAACTAAGGAAACTAGGATTCCTTCTAGAAGATAGAGTAAAATTTAACAAGCACACAACTGTTCTTTTAAGTTGACCGCAGTTGTAGATTTCTTATAGGTAATCTAGTTAAGGGAGAATATGAATCTGCTGCTGAATATTTGAAATGTAACCGATTACTAACTGTAGTCGAGATAGTGCCACGTATATTTGGTGCGTGCCGAACCACTTCAGCTGATTTATTCGTCAGCATTTAACACCTGCTGAGGGCTGTAGCGCTGGAGTTTTTATGTTGCACTTGTCTGGCATAAAACCACTAAATTAGGCATTTCTGTGAAAGACAGGGATCTGTACGACTAAATCAACCTGCCTCCTTGGAGTTAACTGGAACTCAACTGATGTTATATAAGAAAACCAAACTCAGAACTCTGGCAGTTCAACTACTATTACTACGTTAACACCATTTTCGCCGTTTGTTCTTCTCGTCATTGAGTAGAGCTGTACATCTGTTTACAACTTGTGTCGGAGACGAAGAAAAGACTCTGTGCGCTAATAACTGTCCACTTCTAAAGCAACTTCTTGAGAGCTGGCAACTGATTGGTAACGCAAGATCACTCGAACCCCCGCGAGTTGAAATGCCTTGAGTAAGCTCGGGTTAGTTAACGCATTTCAAATCGACATAGGAGAATCGGTAGCTACTAAATTTTTTAAAAGTTACATGATAATTTGGCAGGAGTTTCCTTGGTAGTGGCGGAATAAAACTCCACATTTCCAG